GTACGGATCGCTGACCCAGCAGCTGCCCAGAGAGCCCATGGAGTGGAGGAGGTGATATTATACAGTATTATACAGTAGAGTATTAAAGTATTATACAGATGTTATTATACAGTACAGTCACAATGAAGCAGAAGTAGCGTCAGATCTTTACATTCATGTTGTGTAACAGATTATCAATGAGATTAAATGCAGGGCGGGACCTGGCTGGACTTGATTGGATGTTGAGATGTGGGCGTGGCTCGGTGTAAGCTTGAGGGGCGGGGTTTAATAGCACTAAATCCTGATTAAACATTACGAGCTAAAAACATTAAAAAATGAAGCTTATGCAAAGATGAATCATTCACAGTAGGATCTATAAAATGATTTTAGATAATAGATTGCACAAGAAAGTCTTAATTATGATTTCAGGTCTTAAATTTGGGTACGGAAAGCTTAATGTGACGATTAAACTTCAAAAGACTATGATTTCATTAAATAAACACCAGGGCTGCTTTCTGTACAGCCATTATCGGAGAAACCGTTCTATTTCTGCTGTCCTGAAAGCGCCACCTGCTGGCAGAGAATGAATCTGCTGTTTTTGTTCAGACCAATGCGAAAATCCACCCATGTTTTAACACGCAGAGCTATAAATGTGAACTGGTGGATCGATAAGAAGATAATGCATTATAAAAACCTGTTATTTAATTTATATAATAATTGTTTAAAGAGTTTGTCCAGCTCAGCATTTCATAACAGTGTTTGTATGTTTGATAAGAGCGGGTTTCAAAGAGGTCAGAGCAGAAGAAGGTCGTTAGGAAAGGGATCAAATCTTCATCTCGTGTCATTAATCAGATGTTTCTCGTCTCAGGTCTTACGGACGAGCACCGAAGATGATCTATCTGGAGGCTAATTTTGTCCAGTTTAAGGAGGAACTGCTTCCTAAAGAAGGGAATAAAGCTCTGCTGACGTTCCCCTTCCTGCACATCTACTGGACCGACTGCTTCGTGAGTCTCGCGTTAGACATCATAGCGGTGTCCATAATGACATGTAGTTTTAGCAGTCTCATTCCTAAAAGAAGCAAGAAGCGTCCATCATTCAAAACGCTTTTCCTGTTAATTAAGAGCATCATCTGAGTAGTGCATAAGTAACATTTTTCACACCGGGTCAGAATTGCATTATTGGAGAGAAAAAACAGTCGCATTAAAAAAATTGCATTGGTGTACAAGACATATTTTATCATTACAATTCAGAAATAATTTAAATACCGATAAATGAAAGGGTTGCACACATTATAAAGCTCTGTAAATGTGTTTAATTCCTCTCACTCTCGAAAACAAATCCTTAACATTTAATGTACTCAGAACGGGACAGCAATGAAAAATAGAGTAGAAATTGCAAACAGTGTGAAACAAACGTAAATAATAGTGTCATTTATTATGTGCAACATTTATCATAAATGCCAAGCCAAAAATAATTTATTTAAAGTGAAACTGAAACTGCTGGTATGTGAGAAATGCACTACACAAATAAACATGGGCTCAGATGTCTCTATTATTCAACATAAATACTAATGGTTTATGCTGTTTTTACATTTTTAAAATAATTTTTTTATTTTTTTTATTTATTGTATTCTATTTTTTTTGCACTTTATTAAATTTTTATATTTAAAAAGTAAGTATAAATAAAATATAAAATCATGAAAAGTATAAAATAAAAAATAGGTAATAAAACAAATACTTTTTTGAAATAAAAATGAATAAAATTATACAAATAAATATATAATTTAATTAAAACAATTCTAATAAATATAACTAAAATCTTAAGGACATCTTGACGTTAACTGTGTTTTGTAAGTCGCTTTGGGATATATGTTTCTAAATAATTATTTAATAATTATAAAACAGTTATGTTGGCATTAATTACTTATAACTAAAGAATGAGTTTAAAGAATAATGTTTCAGTGGAAAAATTTTGGTAATATCCAAATGTTTTAATCTATTTTTGTGTACAAATGTCTGAGCTTGTTTGCTCAAACATCTAATTCCTGTTTATTTGTCATGCTGTAAATAGAATTTGATAAGTTGAGTGCATTGCATTGTGGGAGACAGATTCTGTGCAGTGTGATCTGTTGCACATTTGGCAAATATAGTACATTATCTTGTATCGTGGGTGTTCAATACATACAGAAGATTCACATTCTACACACTGCTGTCTTAAAAACAGTGGTTAGTATGGCATTCAGAGATGTGTGTTTGTGTGTGAGTGTGTTTGTGTGTGTGTGTGTGTTTCTGTTTGTGTTTGTGTGAGTGTGAGAGAGTTTGTTTTTGTGTGTGTGTGTGTGTGTGTGTGTGAGAGTGTTTTTTTTGTGTGTGTGTGTGAGTGAGTGAGTGTGTGTTTTTGTGTGTGTGTGTGTGTGTTTTATGTGTGTGTGTGTGTGTGTGTGTGTGTGTGTGTGTGTATATGT